GCCTTCAGAAAGGAACACAGCCTTGCAGATACTTTGATTTTTAGCATGGTGAGAACTGTGCTGAATTTCTATCCTACAAAACTATAAGAATAAATTTGCATAGCTTAAGCCTCTAAACGTGTGGTAGTTGGTTATGGCAGCAATAGAAAACTAACACAGTACTTGATCTGATCCCTAATTGATAAGGGTGATTCGCTGTTCCTAAACTGTTTATGCAAACATTGTATTTATGCTGAACATCTGTTTTCCTTCGTTGAGTCTGGAATTTTGTTACATTCTAAGCAGAGGGTATCAGCCCCCGATAAAAAACTTAGGCACTGAGTCTCTAATGAGCTTCTCTGGGCAGAAACATCATAAGCATGATGCTGCATTTTCATTGCTGGAGCAGAGTATGCTCAGTGTATCCCTTCACAGGAGGGGGAGAGCATAAGGAAGTCTACGCATGGATTTCTCCAGACTCCACCTCTGTCTTTTCCTTGTGGATCCTATTGTATATCCTTTTGCTGTAATAAACCTTAGCCATGAGTACAACTATATGCTGAGTCCTGTGAGTTCTTCTAGCAAATCACTGAATGTGTGGGTGGTCATGGGACCCCCAAAATGATGGGGAAATCACAGGTCACAATTCGAGTGGCCAGTAAGTTCCAAAGCACTACAGTAGACGTGATCTGAAGGCGGGCCTTTACATTCCATGTCTCACTTGGGGCTGATGACTGGTAGGAGTATGGGGTTGGGCTGATTGGCTACCCTGTTGCTGAGGGACAATGGAGTTTTCCCAGAGCAGATGAGGTTGGGGGGGGGGGAGTGGAGGTTCAAACCGGAAATGCCAGGTTCCACCACAGCAGAAGCACATCTGCTCCCTCTGGTGGTCTGTGCCTTTGAACAGTAGCAGCCAGAGGTGGGAACTTGCCGCTCAGTGATGGGCAGAGCAAATACTAAGGCCACCTTGGTGTGAAGGTATGGTGTATCACTAGCCAAGCCTACAGCTGGATGTAAACATTCAGTTTCAATAGATCTTCAGACCCAGCAATATTGAGCAATTCCACTGTCAGAATGTTCCATGCATCCCTCCCGGAAATATGTCCTGAGTACAGAATTGTTTCAGTAAATCATCTGGTCAGACAATAGAATATGGTAGCACACACCTGATCATCCATTTCCTCTGAATGGAGACACTGAATGTGTCCACTAAGGTGGGTACCTCCTAGAGGGGAGTCAGAAACCCTACACGAAATTGTAATTTGGTATGAGTGGAGCTACCTCTCTTTTGCTCGCCCCTATTTAGCAAGACACCCTCAAAACATCTCTTAGCTTTCTCCTGAGCATTAGGGGCCCTAAGATTTGTGAAAATTTACAACTACATAAGAAAAGTTGTCAGCTTAGTTGGTTCATTCATTCCATCATTCATTCATTCATTCATGTATTGAAGCACTGAACTAGCTACTGTGGAATATAGTAGTAAACCACATAGACATGGTCCTTGTCCCTATAGAGCTCCCAGCGTAGAACAACCCTCCCGTCTGGTATCTCTGCAGCCTACCTCCTGGGTGATTAGTATGGAATCTGACCAAAGAAATTAGAACTAGATTCCCAGTAGTGCCTGGGCCATATGCAGAACTACTGCTAGGCCGAAAGGACCTGAGGAAGAGACATGGGACCCTGAAGCACACATGCTCAATACCTTCTCCCTAGGGAGAGAGCATCACCCCCCTGCTCTGCCCCGCATCTTCTGAAGAGCCTTTCTAAATTTGGAGGAATCTCACCATTATGAGTCTTGCCTCCCTAAGGTGGACAACCAGAACTCAATCTTAGGGAGAGGCATGAGCCCTAGGCTCCAGGAATCAGATGTTGCCCATCAAGACAGGAGAGAGAAATGCGAGGAGGCAACTGTCCACTGGAATCCATGCTAGTGAAGGTGGGGGAGCATGACCAAGAGACACTGAGTTTTCACAGGCAGCTGTTAGTAGATGTCCTAGTGGCAAGGCCCTGGGTTCAGCCTCAGCAATGCCTGTCTCCAGAGGCGGCAGGATTGTAACAACTTCTAACTGCCTAGTCCCCAAATCAGACTCTCTGGCCAGTTAAAGGTTTCCTTGAGTTACCTAATATCCATTAATAAATCCCTTTTCTGTTTAAAGAAGCTAAAATGGGTTCTGTTGCTTGCAAATAACAAGCCTGACAGATAAACAGGGACCTGAAAAGAAACAGGGACCAGCCAATTTACTGTTTTTCTTTGACATTGTTAGGGCTGGGGATCAGGATGGGATCAAAGATGACTGAAGAGTTGTTATTAGCTGCTGTCTAATCGGCCCTTGACCTATGGTGACCCCATGCACAACTGAATGACTCGCTGCCCGGTCCTGTGCCATCCCCAAAGTGTACAGGACTCTAAGTCTCATCTAGAAATCTATTTATAGAGTTATTTATCCATTCCACTAAGGTACAGGGATTGAAAATATGCAAAATGAATCACTGCTTTTTATTGACATTGATGTTCCTGCATGGCATGTGCTCCACTGACCACAAGATGGCGAAAGAGATTATTCATCAAGCCTACCTGTCTTCTTTTTCCCCACCTCTTCCTCATCCTCACTATCCTAAAAAGGGTAACAGTTACCGAGACTTACTATGTGAAAGACACTGTTCCAAGGGCTCAAATGCATTAAGTCATTTAATCCTCATGAAAATCCTGTGAAATAGGTACATATGAAGAAACTGAGGCACAGAGTTGTCTGTGTGTCTATTTCATCCCTTATCTATCTTCATATCATTTATCTATATCTAAACCCTGATGGCGCAATGGTTAAGTGCTCGGCTGCTGACCAAAAGGTTGGTGGTTCGAACCTACCAGCTGCTCCGTGGGAGAAAAGACCTGGTGATCTGCTCCCGTAAAGATTACAGCCTAGGAAACCCTATGAGGCCATTCTACTCTTTCATATAAGGTCGTCATGCGTCAACTCGACGGCACACAACAACATTTTCTATCTACCACGTATCAATTTCACATCTATATCTACATATCAGTTTAACATCTGTAGCTTTTGATTTTAAGTTGTTTTTAATTATGAAAGTAACTCATTCTCATGGTAAAAGTATTTAAATGATTGTAAAAATAAAGTCTCCTTTCCTCCTTGCCCATCATCCCAGTCCCACTGCCAAGTGATAACCACTGTGAGCAGTTTCTTGTGTATTCTTCCATAAATTTTCTATGCATATGCAAGCATATTTTATATGTATGTACTCCACAAACATACAAAATGAGACCATATTGTGCACACTGCTCTATAGCATGCTTTTTCTGCTTACCAATGTGTCTTGGACATTAGACGTGGGCCGGGACCTCTATTGCCTGAGGGCCTCATTTGTAGACCTTGAGTATAACACTGCTTGCACTCACCTGCACACCGGGGAGCAAGTGTGTAGTCTGGTGCACTGGAGTCCCAGATGACAGCAATTGCTGGAGAGGAAGGGAGTTGAGCCAAACCTATTGCTGTCGAGTCGATTCTGACTCATAGCAACCCTGTAGGACAGAGCAGAACTGCCCCATCGAGTTTCCAAGGCTGTAAATCTTTACAACAGACTGCCACATCTTTCTCCCGCAGAGTGGCTGGTGGGTTTGAACCGCTGATCTTTCGGTTAGCAGCTGAGCGCTTAACCACTGTGCTACCAGAACTCCAGGGAGTTGACAGGGGTGTGTTGATGTGAACAGCATGTAATGGGATGTGAGGTAACTCTGTTGGTTCTCAGGTGGTGCTAGCCCTCACCTCTGGTGTAGGCCTCTAGCCCTGGTTCTACAAAACCCTATGGGGCAGTTCTACTCTGTCCTATAGGGTTGCTATGAGTCGGAATTGACTCAACGCCAACGGGTTTAGCCCTGGTTCTAAAGAAAACTCAGATTTGTATATAACAGTCACAATGCCTTTAGAACAGGCCTAGCTCTTTACTTTGTGCAGACATTTTTTACCTTATTTACTTTCTGTGGAACCCTATGAGGTAGGAATAATCTGCGCTTTACAGGCAAAAAAGCTGAGACTCAAAGAGGATCACCTACATGTTACAGGTAGACACGTAGCTTTTAAGAAGTAGAGCCAAAAGACAGCTCAGTGCTTTTGATTCACATCCAGTGTACTGTCCACTGCACTCCAGCAAAGTCCTTTGAGAAAGAGATTACCTTGTGCCACACACAGTATTTTCTGGAGTAGAGGCTTCCTGTCCCCTGTACAAGTCCTGATCTTTCTCCCTCATCCTTCCTTTTGTCCACGCAGACTTTCCCCAGCACTGCGGGGCTGGGGACTGAGCACTTGCCAAGTCCAGACATGTTTCTGAGGTGGTGAAATGTCACCTCAGAGGCTGGGTTGTGAGGAGCACAGTCAGGAGCTGTGATAGGCCATCATTTCTGCAGCGGAACCTGCCCCCAGCCCTGTCCCAGTCTGCCCTCCCACCCCAAACTCTGCCCTTTTCCATGACGATGGTGCTCCAGCTCCACAGGAGCAGGACAGGACTCCAGATCCGGAGGAGCAGAGCTCCCAAGGCTGCTAGGCCTGCAAAGGCACGTCCCTTTGCCCATCTTATCGGTGCTCTGCAGTCTGTGCCTGCTCCTCACCTACTCCTTGGGCTCCCAAGGCCGTGGGTGGGTTGAGGCTTTGGCAGCCAGCCTCTGGCCCTGCAGATGCTGCTGAGCAGCCTGGGGGGAGGTGGGCGGGGGTAGAACCCAGCTCTTGTCTCCAAGGCCAGCGGGAGGGACAAGGCACAATAAGGCCATCCCTACAGCTGAGACAGTGACCTAAACTCCAGGACACAGTCCCAAGGCCCTGTAACCCTAGCAGAATCCTGGGTTTGGGCAGCAGGTGGGAATGGAAGGGCAGCAGCTTTGGTCTGTGAAGCTGCCAGTGTGGGGTGGTGGGGGGGTCTGAGGCACTTCTTGAAAACCCTGTAGTGAAAGGCTGGGAGCATTGGGCAGCAGTACCATGGAGCCCATGAAGAGACAGCCCAGAATGAGTGGCTCAGGTCTTGGGCATGGCTGGGGGATGTCGGGAAGCAGCTGCAGGTGCTGGTCCCAGGGAGTGCAGCCAAGGGCAGGCATCTGGACCTGGGTCAGAGGAAAAGTAGATAACCAGTGCTTGAGGATCAGGGAGCATGTTCTAGAGACAGTCCGGTACCATGAGTCCTGGTACTGGCTGGCCTTGGCCTAGTACACACTGCCCAGCTTGTGGGTCTGTGCTGCCTGATTATTACCAGAGCAAAGTTCTCCTTGGCCAGACAGGTGGAGGGCTAATGTCAGGGGCTATCTATATAAAAAATCTATACTGTACATCATAGTGAAATGTTGATCAGGAATATGATACTATCATCACTTCCATTCAACATTATACTGAGGGAATCTGGCCAGTGTCATATAGTAAGGACAAGAAATAAAAGGTAGAATGATTCAAAAGGAAGAAACAAAACTGTCAGTATTTGCAAACGGTACGATTGTCTATGCAGAAAATCCAAAAGGTTGTAGAGACAATTAGAATAAACAAGTTTAGCAAGGTTGCCAGATACAAAATCAATATACAAAAATAAACAGCACTTCTATATACCAGATCTAATAAAACATGATTTTTTTTAAAAGACACCATTTACAATAGTATCAAATTCTTAGGAAGAGATTTAACAAAGTAAGTACATGACTTCTTAAAAGAATTAAAGCTTTATTGAGAGCAAATTAAACAAGTCAAATTTCCAATACAACAGCAGCATGCATGGCTTCTGCTTGTCTTCTTTATAACTTATGGCTGCCCTTCACCTATAACATAAACATAACAGTTGTACATTACCTACTTAGCAGAACTTTACTTAGATGATACTAAAGGTACAGAAAGGGCACTACAGTTTTGGTTTTATAAGAAGAAACTAAATAAAACCAGAACCCTAACCCCTGTGTAGGCTACTATTCTAATGTACATTTTCAGGCATATGAGTACAATTTTTTTAAACGCATCACTCTTCCTAGTGTCATAAGAAAACAAAGTGAACTCTCAAGCCCACAACAAATTAAATCCTATGAGCCTATTTAAAGATAATTTTAGGTAGAGAGTAAAAATTGCCAGTGATTTCAGTTAAAAAAAATCAAACTAAAACCCCAAGAAGCAAAACAAACAAACCCAGTGTCATTCAAGTGTATTGACTTGAATACTTTTCTAATTATTTATTAGCTAAAACAATAGTGTCACACACTAAAGGGCAAAGAAGAAGATTGTTTGGTTTATCTCTTTTGTGCACAAATGTAAAAATATTTCATTGACCTAGTTCAATTTCATGTGGTCTATTTTAAGTAGGGTGACCATTCATCCCATTTGCACCTATTGTCCTGGTGTAAATATTCCTAGCACACTCCCTTTCACTCTCAAAAGTGTCCCAATTGGGACAGTAAAAATTACATGGTCACACTAGTTTGAATCCAGTACCATCATAAAAACCTGTTGCTGTCAAGTCAATTTTCGACTCCTGGTGACCCCATCTATTAGAGTAGAACTGCTCCATAGGATTTTCTTGGCTGTAATCTTTATGGAAGCAAATTGCCAGGCCTTTCTTCTGCAGTGCCACTGGGTGAGTTCAAACAACCAACCTTTAGGTTAGTAGTTGAGCACAAACCATTTGCAGCACCCAGGTACCTTACTTCCCTCATAGATGACTTTTAAAATGTGAAGGAAAATGCTACCATTTCTCATAGACTGGCTCACAATTAAAAACAAACCTGGAAAAGCCAAAACATAAACAGATCCATCTTATTTTTTGGTGTCTAAAAGATAAGTGATTTTTGAGAAACAATTTCTGGCAAATAAAAATAAAATCATCAATACTATTATGCTGTTTAGATGTTATGTTAAATAATTTATATTTATTGCCTTTCATTTTAAGGGACTTCTACTCCATAGTAATAAAATACTTGCATGTTTTATAATTGAACAGCATGGCTTTGGTCTAATTCTTTTCCCTGACACTGTCTTTAAATCAATCATTTGGTGTCTGAACTACCTTTCAAATAATCCTTGTATGTGAGATTTGTCACTAAAGTGTAATATTGTAGAAAACAGTAACACCATAACTTGCATTCTTAATGAATAACACACCTGCTTCTGGAATTTTAGCAGGCTTCAGAGTAGGTGGAGTCTTCCCCTTCACACCAGGACTATCTCCACGCTCACCCTCTGTCTTTTCCAGACCCATTTCCTGGTTATCAGCTTCCAGTCCAGGCCCTTATACGAATAAAAATTTAATAATGTCAGCAATAAAGCATAAAATAGTGTTATTGAATAAAGTTCTGTAGGCTAGTGTGATAATAAATGCAATATATAAGAATGCCATGGATGTGAAAAAGTTTTCTGCTGGAAAATAGGGAAGTTACCCATTACTCATTGCCATCGAGTCAATTCCAACTGATAGCGACCCTATGGGACAGAGTAGGACTGCTCCATAGGGTTTCCAAGGAGCAGCTGGTGATTTGAACTGCCAACTTTTGGTTAGCAGCCCAAGCTCTTAGCCACTGCACAACCAGGGCTCCTGGCACCTACTAGGCCCCCAACAAATGAATGAAAAAACTCTATAAAAAATAACATGAAGCAAGCCTAAATTGAGGAACATTTTACAAAACAACTGTTTTGGACTCTAAAGCATGTCAATGTCATGAAAGACAAAGAAAGACTGAAGAACACCTCTAGATTAAAGGAGACCAAAGAGACATAACTAAATGCAACAGGTGGTCTCAGATTGGATCCTGGATCAGGAAAAAAAAATTGCTATATATAATTGGGCCAACTGATGAAACTGGAATAGGCTGTATAGTACATAATAATATTTTTTCAATGTTAAATTTCCTGAATTTGATCATTGTACTGGGGTTATGTAAGAGAATATTCTTGTTTTTAGGAAATACATACTGAATTACTAAGGAGAAAAGGGTTATGATGTCTGAAGCTTACTCTCAAATGGTTCAGCAATACTAATATTTGTATTACTACCTAAAAAGAGAATGACAAAGCAAATGTAGAAAACTGTTAGCAGTTAGTAAACCAAGGTGAAGTGTATACAAGTACTCACTGTGCTTTCTTATAACTTTTCTGTAAATTTTAAATATTTTCAAAGTAAAACGTTAAAGACTGTGACAACTAGATTATGTTTCAGAAGAAAAAAGTATTGAAGACTTTGATACTAAGAAAAGATTTCACATTTTCATTTTTCTATATTATAAAATTTCTTAACAATTACAATCTAAGAGTTAACCATAATAATCTAGGTATGCTCAAACTTTTGATGCAATGACTTAAGAAGCCCATAAAACATTCCAAGAAGACCAAGTTTAAATAGTGAAATAGTGTATGATTTCATGTTTAAATTTAATGTAGTTTCCTTTGATTTGCTAATGTAGAGCCTTGGTGAGGACTATATTTTCCAAACATGCCAAATAAGTCTTAAAATACAGGACTGGTAAAATGCTAAAAGAGGGAAAACTTATCCTAGTGACGAACTGCACTCAGCTGCAAACTTACACCCTCTTCCCTTACCAAATGGTTTCCAGTCAATTTTCAAGGACTGCTTTATTTATCCCTGTTACTAATATAACATAATACATGAAATACAAAACGTTCCTTCATCCCCTCTTCACCTTGAACTGCAGCTGCTCCTTCATCTTCCCTCTCTTGTCCAGGTTCAATATCCTCTTGTTGAGGTTGTTCACCACTGGGCTGCTGGGCCTTGGGAGTGCAAATAAAGAGTGTTGTTATTAATATTATGGCAACAGAAGCCACATATACACACTACATGAAGATAACTAATCGCAAATAAATGTAAAGAGGTTTTTTCTACACTCTTCTCTGTAGGTACTCTTATTTGTTTATAAATAAGCATGACAGGGAAGTCACAGGGGCTATTTCCAGGCTGATAACAACATACACATCCAGGCAATACCAGAATATCATTCTCCTTGCTCAACATCTCATTTGTGGGATTCAGTTTTCACTCCTTTTTATCAGGGAAGTCCTTTATACAACAGATACATATTAGTTCACAACTTTTTCTTTCATTTTTTTTCAAAAAAATTAATTTCTACCAATGAAAATAAGATGGTAAAGCACTCACAACCACAGGTTCAAACAGATCAGAAGACTCTTGACCATCTCCTCTTCCTCTGGATCTTGATCTTGCTCGTCCACTCATATTTCACACTAAAGTAGAAAATTATGAACTGAAGAAAGTACTATAATAAAAAATATATAATTACACTTGACTATTTCCATGGACAACTACTGATTTTAATTTTTTTTCTTACATTTAGCAAGATTTCCGAAATAAGTTCTAACTTAATAATAACTGCCTGTTTTCCAATCACATCAGAAAAGGCTGTCTGCAAATCCCTTTGTTTTTCTCACAGCCAATTTGGCAAAGAAGTGATCTTCAAGTACTTGATAAAAAATGAGGGACTTTCCTAAAGATATCTGGTTTCACAATTCTCTTCATCATGAAGAGATTTTATAAAATACAGCTACATCCCCAGGTACCCACTGAAGACTCCGGAATCTATCGGCAGTTCCAGGTGCCTCCAGGTCTCAGAAACCTCAAATGGAGACCGCAAGGATTGCCCCCATCTTCATCTAACCCCCTTCCCTCCACAGCCCACCTTCCTCCCTTGCCGGGGGCCCCGCCACGACCAATAGGGGTATGGTGGTGGCACCACCTGTGAAGAGAAGGTCAATGACACGCGAAGACATTCCTCCTCAGATGCCACGAACCACACCGCACACTGGCCTGCCCGAACCCCTCATGCTCACTCACACTTAAACTCGAAGGACTGATCTGCACACCTATCGGCTGGGTGTCAGCCAGTGAGAGAGAATCAAGATAGCAGTAAGGCCACCTTCACCCTCCTGCACAGCTCTGCACAGAATGTGGTCGGCAAGGCACTCGCAGCAGCGGGCATGCAGAGAGTTGGGCTAGTACCACGTGGTCTAAGCTTCCCCATCCCATACGCCCCCCACCCAAGGAACTACTGAGGACTTTGGAAGCTATGCTGTCACCAGTTCCAGGTGCCTCTGGGACTCAGATACCTCAAAAACCCCCCCAAGACTTGTCCCATCTTCAACTAACCCACTTCCCTCTGCGGCCTGACATCCTCCCTGGTCCCTGCCCCATCAAGATGACAAGGGCCAAGGCGGACGGCGACCATTGAGACCTTCGTCTTGGAGACTACGGACCGAGCAGCTCGACTTGCCCGAAGCCCGCGGTCTCCCCGCTCACATTGAAACTCACGGGAGGAGTGAGCTGCACACCTACCGCCTGAGTCTCAGCCAGAAAGAATGAAGATGATAGGACTACGACCTCCACCTGCACAGCTCTGCGCTCAGAAGGTGGACTGGAGGACACACTCAACAACGGGCATGCGCACTGAGTAGGGCCTGTGCCGGCGGGCTGTCCTTCCCCCTTCTCCCCCCAACCCCCGGAAGGTATCCACTGAGGACTTTAGAATCTGTGCTCCCTCGGCATTTCCAGGTGCCTCCGGGTCTCAAAAACCTCAAACTGCACCCCCAAGACTTGCCCCATCTTCAATTAACCCCCTTTCCTCTCCTCCGCGGGGCACCTTCCTCCTTGGCGCCAGCCCCACCACAAGCACAAGGGTCATGGCTGCGGTGCTTAAAGAGGACGACTGTCCAGGACCTTCCTCTTGGGAGGTCATGGACCGCACTGCCCCTACCGCCCAAAGCCCGCTGGTTTCTCCTCACACTCATTCACTCACACCTGTTCACACTTACACTTGTGGATGCCCTGGCCCAAAGACCTGCCCAGGATGTCAGCGAGACAGCAGAGAGCCTGACCGAGAATTGGGAAGGGAATGAAAACACCACCCACCAAGCGTTGCCGCCTAAACGTGACCTCTGCTGGTTAACTGGACCAGCCAATCCCAAGCCTCTGAGGTGCAGGTGGTAACACCCGTGCTCATGTGCAGGGATGTGTGTGTCACGTGGGCTGGCAGCCCACCCCTCCCCCGCCCCCTGGTAGAGATTCAGTCTTGCTTGCCGGAGGGCGTTGCCTTATCAGTCCTGGAGGATGGGAAGGAGCTTGTCCACTTACCTTCTCTCCTCACCTCCAAAACTTTTTGCCCTTCCGGATCCAGGAACATTTCCACCCCTGTATTTCATCTGCCGATAGTCAAGTCAAGTTGGGTGCCGTTGATTCGCCAATGAGTGGGTTAAACCGCCAACCTTTCGGTTAGCAGCCGAGCGCTGAACCATTGTGCCACAAGGACTCCTTCATCTGCGATATACCCTCCAAATTAACCTTTCAGTGCTGCGTCTTTAAGTGGCCCTCCCCATAGATCTGTGAAAGTTTTTAGACTCTTAGAGAAGGCAAAGCCATTTTGAGCATGACAGGAATCCAAAAAATGTAAAGAACTGATAAATCCAAATACATAAGCCTTAAAAACTGCACACATCCCGTGACCCAGCATTTCTACTTCTAGAACCTTATTTTCAGGAAACTGCCTTGGATGTGAACAAAAATTTAGATACATGAGACTTCCAAAGCAGCTTAATTTATAATGGCATGGTCATGGATTTGCTATGTAAATAAATTATGGCACATTTGAAAATGAAAAATGACTGGCCTCAAAACCAATACTGAATGTTTGCTGTCATGGAGGTGCTGCTCACATTAGGTTATTAACTTGAAACAGCTGGTTATGCAGCATTGTGTATGTACAACATGATCCCAAAAGAAGAGGGCGGCTTCAGAGAAGTTCAACAGCATCACCACACTACCACCAACTCTCCTCTCAGATAGTAAATATACTTCATTCTCCTGCTACCAGAACATCTTTCTGGGGCTCCAAAGACACATGGTTCTTCAAGGGTAACACAGCAGATAAAATGCAGTCCTGGGGTGGTAGGTCTTTTGCATCTGGTGCACCTCAAAGGGCTGTCTGGTCCTCAGCTGTGAGGGGAAAGGATGACAAGGGGGTGGGGCATCAGCCCACTTCTGTTTTGGGCAAACAAAGGTAAGTAAGTACTCTCAGGGTTGAAGAGAGCTTGCCCTGACCTGCTGTCCCCCTCCCAAAAAAACTATCTGTCCTTTGCCAGAAATTGCCGGATTTCTCTCTCATATACAGTCAATATGGAGGCAAGTGTTAAGAATGTATAATTCTTTGATTTCACCAATGAAGGATAGCCATTTTTAATATCTAGTTAGGAGCTGCTCCTACAACTCAGATCTTTATGTGGATGAAATAAAGATATGTTAAGAATGACTGAGCTCTCTTGCTCTGTAATGAGCATAAACTAGGCTCTGATCTCAGCCCCGTTTCTCTGCAGGTAAAGCGCTTTCAGGGCTCTCAGAGATATTCCAAGAGATAGCAGTTATTCCTTGTTATCTCTTGGAAAGGCTACAGCATGCTGTCTGCTGTCTCCCTGACCGTTTGTGTCGGGAGCAGGATCAAGTCTCTCCAGAACTCTGTGAAGAAGTTAGAGGGAAGGTGAGTTCTTTTCTATATGAGAGCTTGGAGTCTAAACTGAAAAAGGAATCCCTATTTGCCCAGTGCCATAAGCCTTCCTGGGTAACCTCATCCTCAGGCAGTATTATTGCAGAGCAATCACTCTGACCAGAGACTTTCAGGTACTCGCAAGCTCTTGTTTGTATCATTGTGATGATTATAAATGTCACTTTCGTTTTATTTGTTTTATGACACAAGTAACATCTGCTCCTTAGGAATAATTCAGTCACTAAGAATTGGCCAATCCCACTGTCTTGCCATTATTATTTAAATCCCAGCATAAGCTCACCTAATTCTTGGTGGCATTAACACCTGGTAGTAACTGTGTTGTTGCCAGGACCACTGAGGGGAGCCACAAGACACCCCCTCCTGCCTCTCCTCCACCTCTGCTCCCTCACCATAGCAGAAGAAAAGAAGACCCTCTGTTTACCTGTTTGCCATGGTCAGAGGTGATAATCAAGACTGGAGACGTGTGGTTGTGCCCAGTCAGGAGTGGAGCAGATGTCAGTGTCATGCAAAGGACCAGGGCTGAGGTGGTGCACGTGCTGCAGGTGAGCTCTATGCAGACTGTCCAGAATCCCAATGGGAGACATGTTGGAAATGCTTCCTAGGCCAGCTGTGAGCAGGATGTGCAGACACGAGGCCATGGTGAAGCCAGGGTGAGGTGGCAGCTGTGTCTGTGCGATGGGTGGGGTGATGACCCAGGTCCCTTACCAACACCAGTGGGAGGGAAGTATTCAAGTTCATGTGCTTGACTACAGGTTCACACGTGTGCTCCAGAGGGTGGCTACAGTGGTGGGGAGCACTCTGTTCTTCCCAGTCTGGCCTTCTCCAGCCCTGGGGTACTTCTCCTATGGGTTTGGGGATGGGTCAGACCTAGGAGAGTTCCTGCCCACAACCATTACCCCCACCTGCAGTTGGGGGAAATCCCAATAGTCAGCCTTGGAGACAGAAATAGAGGGTGCAGCTGAGGTGTATGAGAGGTGTCTGCGTTAATTCCCAACGGCTCATGCAACTCATCCCCAGCTGTTTAGAGGGAAGAGGCAAGGGAGCAGGTTTAGATATTTGTGAGAAACTCCTAATACTCTCGGTATTTCTCAATTAGTAATGCACTAGGCAGCCTTTCCCAGCAATTCCCCTTCTGGAACTTATCCTAAGGGTATATTCACCTCTAGTGGACTGCAATGTATGCACAACAGTTGCAACAGTGAAAACTGGAAAGTACCTGTGTGATCATTACTAATGCACTTGCTCAAATGAATTTTGGTAAAAATAGACAGTAGAATTTTTGCAACCATTGAGGAATTAGATTAATATATATCGATATGGAATGAAGTCCATTAATTAATGTTAAATTCTACCAAAAAAGTTGTAGAACACTATAGTATGACCCTACCTTTGTTTTAAATAGACGTGTGTGTCCTTATATGTTGAGTGTTATGGTCTTTTTGCTATTATAAGTAAAATTGGAATGAACATCTTATACTTGTAGTGTATCAAACTTTTCTCATATTTTTAGGATGTATTCCTGGAAATTGAATTGCTGGGTGAAAGGAAAGGTGGAAGTTCTAAAGATATTTAATGTGTATTGCTAGATGACTCTAAGATATGATAAACCATTTTACAATCCAACCTGTAGTGTACAAGAAGGGCTGTTTTCTTCCACTCTTGCATTTGT